ACAGGAGACATTTTGAAATTAGTCATTTTTGTAAAGGGAAAGGGAGTATAAGGAAGGGAACCGATCCTTGAGGGGTTGGTTACCCACCCAAATATCCTCCCATAACCGAATAGAATTACTAGAACAAGCACCATACCTGACAAACCTGAGGAAGCAAGGTAAAATACCATGTATGGCTTTCCAAGGTGTTGTGAGGTAGCCCAACGAGATATCCCAATATCCCAACAATTTCCTAAGTATCCATGAATACTTGACACCACCTCAAACCAAAGTCTCTCTCTCTCTTGAGGCCATCTCCATAAACACTTTCCTAGAAGGGCTACATTCTTTTGCACTAATTTTCCTATTCCCAGGCCCCCTTCTTCCTTAGATTTGGTCATTATCTCCCATCTAATTATATCATCCTTCTTCACCTCCCCTGGTTCCCACAGGAAATCCCTCATGATCTTCTCCAGTTTCGTAGCCTCCCTTGGGGGGATCCTGAAGACAGACAGGAAGTAAGTAGGAAGGTTGGCAAGTGTGGCCCTAATCAAAGTCACCCTTCCCCCTATGAAGATGTAGTTCTTTTTCCAGGCTGCCAAGTATTTACCAAATTTCTCCACAATAGGGGACCAAAAACTGCTTTCTTTAGGGTTAGCTCCTAAGGGAAGACCTAAGTCAAATGCCAAGGAGAGATGGCACAACCTAAGCACCCCACAATGAACTCTACCTCCCAGACCTCCAAATTTATTCCAGCCACAGCTTTTATCCAAGTTCATCCTCAAATTGGAAGCTTGCTCGAAGTCTCTTATTAAACTTTTAAGGCTGTCCACCTTACTTAACTCATTCCCTTCACAGAAGATAACAAGATCATTAGCAAACTGTAGGTGGGTAACTGGAATGTCTCTCCTCCCTAATCTCCAACCTCTTATTAGGTCCTCCTCATCTGCTTTAGAAATCAATCTACTGAACACATCAGCAACAAAAGAGGAACGAAGAGAGTGGGTCACCTTGTCTTAGGCCTCTGATGGCTGGAAAGAAGTCCTTCACTGCCCCATTGACTCAAACTAAGTAGTGACAAGACTTTAGGCAACCACTTATCCAATTACACCATGTGTTCCCAAAACCACGCCTTCTTAACACCTCCAATAAAAAACTCCAATCCACTAAGTCATAGGCCTTTTCCAAGTCTAGTTTGCATACAAAGCCTTGCCTACCAATATCTCCTCATCTAGCAAGAGGATCAGATCTATAATATGTCTGTCTTGTACAAAGGCTCCTTGTGCTTGGCTAATGAGAGAAGGTAAAACTACTTTGATTCTCCTAGAAAGCACTTATGCCAAGATCTTATACATGCTCGTCACTAGACTAATCAAAATCTTTGGGATGTTTGGCATCGGTCTTTTTAGGAACTAGAGCTAGGAAAGTGGCATTGACTCCAGGGCTCACAACATGTTTATCGTCAAACTCTCTAATAACCAACTAAGTCTTCTTTTATTATATCCCAGCAATCCTGATAAAATGCCATTGTAAACCCATCTGGCCCCGATGCCTTAGCTCTATCCATTGAGAAGACGGCTTGTCTAATTTCCTCTTCCTCAATCCTTCTTTCTAACCATCCCTTGTCTACCTCATTCAAAATTGGCTAAGCCTCCTCTTCCACTCTTACTTTATTCTCTAAAGGTCATTGGAAGATTGATTTGAAGTGAGACAGAAAACCACTAGCAATCTCCTCCTGAGAAGTTAGATCAACTCCATCCACCTCTAGTTTTACTATCAGATTTGTGCCTAGGTTTTTGCCTCCACGAGATCTCCTCCCTTAGAAGAACTTCCTCTAGCTCCTTTTTCAACTTTCATCTCAGTTCTCTATCTTGCAAACTCATTGTCCTCTGGGATTCTTTGGCATCAAGATTCTCGATCTGATTCAATAGAGTATCTATTCCTTCCTCCACCCTACCAAAATGATCCATGTTCCATTCCTTTATTTTAGCTCTCAACCTTTTTAACTTCTTATGGAATCTAACCCCTTTCCATTTCACCCACCTCAACTCTTCACTCCACCATTCCTCAACCTTTTTCACAAAATCCAGATGTGTTAACCACATGTTATCAAACCTAAAAGGCCTAGGTCCGGTTCCAAAAGGTTCTTGTCCGACTTCTATAGGGCAATGGCCAGAGGTAACCCTAGGTAAAGCCTTAGCCACCAAACCACTCCAATGGCTTTCCAAATCCTCATTGAACAGAAATGTGTCAAGCTTAGAGCAAGTCGGGTTCTCCTAGAAGTTGGACCAAGTGAAGATAGCTTGTAGTAAAGGAAGCTCTCGTAACTAACAAGAATTAATGAATTCATTAAACCTCCTCATACTAGTTGTGATGGTCTACCAGGGATTATTTGACTCAGTTGTGAACCTTATGACATTAAAAACCCCACCCCCCCAAACACCATAGGCCTTCCCATAATCCATGTATGCCATGAAGCTCTTCCCATAACTCATTCCTTTCTCTATAGTTATTTGAACCATACACATTTGTTAACACCCATATAAATCCGTCTTTCACGGTTTCACAATTCTAAATTTTAGGGAGACAGCAAAATTTCCTATCAACTCCTCAATTAGTTCTATAAAGTCTTCCCTCCACAAAGTTACTATTCCCCCAAAGGCTCCCCAAGATGAAGCCAAGCACCGCCTCACTCCTCTTACTCTCCAAGTCTCTCTAATCCACCTCCTATCCAATTCAGCCAACTTAGTCTCCTGAAGCATCACTAAATCATGTCTCTCTCCTAAGCAACTCCTTAACCATTCTCCTTTTTCTAGCATTGACTAGACCTCTCACATTCCAACTGGTTATCTTCAATGACCTACTTGATATAAACCCTCCAAGACACTATCTCCCATCATTTAAAGGCCTTTTTTCTCTCCCCTCTTCCACTAAATTCAATGTCCAAAATGAGTCTCTCTACTTCAGATCTTTTCTTCTTTTTCATGCCCTTATTACCCACAGACTTCCTAGACAGCTCTTTATTTCTTGTTTCCTACACCATCGTGTTTCTTTTTTACTAAAGGATCACCCCTCTCAATACCAATTTCAACGCTCTCCTTCACCACTCCCCTGCTACCGCTTGGTTGTTCTGGTTGTGATGTCAAGATACCTGGTACAATTATAGCACCCAGGTTAGTATCTAAAAACAAATGGACAGGCTTACCTGAAGGTAATGAAGGTGGGAGCAGTGTGCTTTGAAGAAGGGTATCACCTGTTGTTCAAGACCAAACCCTTTCCTTGTTCCTGATTCAGCTGTGGAAGTGGACTAGGTTCAACCGTAACATTTTCACCCCTGCAATCAAAGATACCTCACTAGTTTTTCCCTCTATGTATTCCTTTACATAAGGCATCAAAGAAGATTCCCGTCTCTCTGGCCCAATATCTTGAATCTGCTGGATTAATGGAATAGGCTCTGATTTCAGCAAGAAAGAAAGATCTTGATCAAGAGATGGAGGAGAAGAGAAGAAGAAGAAGAAGAAGAAGAAGAAGAAGAAGAAGAAGAAGAAGAAGAAGAAGAAGAAAAAGAAAAAGAAGAAGAAGAGAGGAGATAAGGAAGAGGCGAGAAGATTTCGACCAAAAACATAAGCTGGCAGTGCCAGGATTTGTATTTATATGTTAGGGCAACTAAATAAAAATTAAAAGGTAAAAATGGCAAAAGTGCCCCTGCGACACATAACCAAGATTACATCACTCCCCCTCAAGTTGGGGCGTAGATATCAATCATCTCCAACTTGTCACAAAGATTATAATGTCGCATGGAATTTAATCCTTTAGTAAGGATGTCTACAAATTGTTCCTCAAAGCTGATGTAGGGAGTGCAAACTTCTCCTTTTTCCAATTTTTTCATGATAAAGTGTTTGTCAACCTCTATATGTTTAGTTCTATCATGGAGAACAGGGTTGGTTGCAATGTTAATAGCAGCCTTATTGTCACAGTATAGTGACATAGGATCACTGGGAGGAAAGCCCAATTCACCCAAGAGGTTCTTTATCCATAGAAGTCCTACCACACCATGAGACATGGCTCTATATTTAGCTTCTGCACTCGATCTGGCCACCACACTTTGTTTCTTACTCCTCAAAGTAGCAAGGTTTCCCCCAACAAAAGCACAATAGCCACTAGTAGATTTTTTGTCATCCATAGAACCAACCCAATCTGCATCAATGTAAACCTCAACTCTCATATGCCCATGCTTTCCAAACAAGAGTACTGTCCCAAGGAATTTCTTCAAAGATCTAAGAACTCTGTGTGCTGCCTCCAAGTGTGTGGCCTCGGAAGCATGCATAAACTAAGGACTCCCACTACATACGCAATGTCAGGTCTTGTCATAGATAGGTAGAGAAGTCTACCCACCAATCTTTGATACTGCTTTATATCTACTATGGGCTCATCACTGCAATCCCCGAGCCTATGGTTTACATCTATAGGAGTGTCAACAGGTTTTGACCCAAGCTTCCCCATATCTTTCAGGAGATCAAGAACATATTTCCTCTGGAGATGATGATACCCTGATTAGAGCGGGCCACTTCAATTCCGAGTAAATAATGTAAAGGCCCAAAATCCTTCACCTCAAAGTCTCAATCACCAGTGATAATAATGTCATCAACATACACAATTAAAGCTACCATTCTTCCTTGCTCTCTCTTCACAAAGAGTGTGTGATCAGATTGGCATTGCTTAAAACCCATCTATTGAACTAATAATCAAGCTGGGGGTACAAGGGGTGCAATTTGCAAACCAGCTAGGGGTACAACAACTAATAATCGAGGGGGATTCCAAAGTGATGGTGGGTTGGTTGAAAAATTCTAAAGAGGCTATGTGGCAATACAAGAATGAAATGAAAAAATTTAGTTGGTTGACAAGGAATATGTTGGTCACTGTATAGTGGGTGGGGAGATCAACAAATACTTTGTCAGATATGTTAGCTAAGCAAGGGGTAAATAGGGAAGAATTATTTTGGGCTCAGTTRTGAYTCTTGYTTTTCTTTCCTAGTTTACTTGTAAGATTCAAGGAGGGGCTGCAGCTCGCGCTTCTCGCTGGGATGATGTATAAACTCACTCTAAATTTGCTTCTTTCATCAAAAAAAAAACATCTGTTGAACTGCCTTGTGGAACCTACTAAACCAGGCCCTTGGAGACTGTTTTAAGCCATACAAAGATTTCTTCAATCTACATACTTTCTACTCATCTCCTTTAGCACGAAAACCTGGAGGTTGGATCATATTCACTTCTTCTAAGTCACCATTCAAAAAAGCATTTTTAATGTCCAGTCGATGAAGTTCCCAATCTAGATTTGCTGCTAAAGAAAGGACTTGAATAGAATTCATTTTTTCTACAGGTGCAAAGGTTTCCGCATAATCAACTCCATACACCTGTGAAAAACCTTTTGCAACTAGTCGGGCCTTATACCTCTACAATGTGCCATCTGCCTTATGTTTCACAGAAAATACCCATTTGCACCCCATAGGTTCCTTTCCTTCAGGGAGATCTACCAGCTCCCATGTGCCATTTTTGTGAAGGGCATTGATCTCCTTCATTGCATCTGTCCATTCAGGAACAAGTAAAGCTTCTGCAACACTCTTAGGAAGGGAAACACTATCAATAGCAGAGAGGAAAGCACGGAAAGAGGGTGAAACATGCTCATAGGATAAGGAAAGGGCCATCGGGTGATGTGTGGTGCATGATTTAACACCTTTCCTCTTTGCAATAGGAAGATCCAGATCACAATTAGAAGTATCAATATCAATGGGCTCAGAGACGTTAACTGGAACAATAGTACCTGGATGCAGTGATTGATTCAACCCCTGAGAGTTCGATGGCACAGGTTGCATAGCTTCAGGATACTCTATGTCTATTGAACTTCGCTGATCGTGGCCTTGACTTTTGTACCACTGTCTATGAAAGACCAAAAATGGAGGAGGGTCAGGAGGACAAAGCAACAAAACCTGTCTCTATTTTCCCTCACTTGGACTCTCCCCCTGAGAAGCAAGAAAGAAAGGCACATCTTCAAAGAAAGAAACATCCATAGATACAAAGTACTTTTTGGAAATAGGGTCAAAGCAACAATAACCTTTTTGGGAAAGGGGATAACCAAGGAAAACACAAACAATGGCTTTGGGATCTAGCTTACCACGGGTAGGTGATAGATCATGGACAAAACACTTACACCCAAAGACACGCAAAGGGATAGGAAACAATGGAGTTGTAGGGAAGATGAGCTGATGAGGGGACTTGTACTCCAGGAGACGAGATGGCATCCAATTGATAAGATAAGCCAGAGTCATAACAGCATCCACCCAAAACCTTTTTGGAACATTCATGTATATCAACAACCCTCGAGCAACCTTTAAGAGATAACGATTCTTTCTCTCTGCAACCCCATTCTGTTGAGGGGTTCGAGCACAAGAACTACGATGAGTAGAGCCACAAGTTTCAAAAAATTCTGTGAGGTCACCATGAACGTACTCTCTGGCATTGTCTGATTGGAAGGTTCGAATCTCCATTTGAAATTGTGTGTATACCATACGTTGGAAGGCTTTCACAAGTTTAGAAACTTCGTCTCGAGAGTGCATAGGGTACACCCACGTATATCAAGAGAAGTCATCAATGAAAGATATGAAGTATCTGTAGCCATTCTCCGTTGAAATATTTACAAGTTCCCAAACATTAGAATAGACAATGGAAAAGGAAACATCTGATTTTTTATTACGTAAAGAAAATGAAGTTCTACAATGCTTGCTTAGCTAACACACTTGACACTAAAAATCATTAATAGACATAGACTTAAACAATTCTGGAAACAAATACTTCAAAGACTCAAAAGACATATGACCCAAACGATTGTGCCACAAAGTAACATGACTCTTATTTGACTGACTCAAAGACTCTGAGGCAGCAAGACTAGCTCTATTCTCCAGCACATAGAGGCCATTCACCATATTCTCTTTACCAATCGTCCTCCCAGAGGCCAAATCCTGAAAGACACAAGATTGAGGAAAAAAGGTTACTTAGCAGTTCAAAGAGTGTGTAATGCTGCTAATAGATAGTAAATTAATAAGCAGTTTTGGAACATGTAAAACATTTGATAGAGGTAAGCCAAATGGCAAAGATATAGATCCTCAACCAGCAATGGAGGAGATGGATCCATTAACTAACCTCACTTTATCTTTGCCAGAAAGAAGGGTGTATGATTGGAAAAAGGTTGACTTACCTGTGATGTGATTGGAAGCACCAGAATCAATAATCCATGGGGATTCATAGGTATCGGCAGGCACATGGAATTTAGAAGCTAAGCTACCTGAGGAAGAGGCAAAAGAGGTTGAAGGAGTGGGTTTAGAATCAGTTTGTGTGAGGGCCCTACCATATTGCTCCAAATGGTCACAAAAGGCAATGATAATATTTTCCTTAAGATCAGACCTAGGGGGCAATCCTGAGAGTTCATAGTAGTTCCTCCACTCTGCAACTCATGAGAGGCCAAGATAGCCGAGGTGAACCTTTCCTGATTTGGTTTCTTGTTCTGTTCTTGTGTTGATTTCTTATTTAGGTCTTGTGCCCAGTTCGGCTTGCCATGCAATTCCCAACATATCTCCCATGTGTGTCGGGACTTCTAACAATGAGAGCACCACAGTTTATCCTTATCATCAACCCTTTTCTAACCATCTCCCTTTCTTGCTGAATTGATATTACCTCTTGTGGCTAAGGCAATGGTCTCCCCCTCTGGAGGATTCATGGCAGATTTCCTACTTTCCTCATATTGAACCAGTGCATACACCTCTTGGACAGAGGGAAGATCCTTGCTGCCCAAAATTTGAACTCGAATGGGTTCATATATGGGATTAAGTCCTAACAGAAAAGCAAACACCCGCTGCTGTGACATTAACTGTTTATAGGCTTTGGCATCCTTTTCACTCTCCCAGACAATATTCTTATAGTAATCTAACTCGTTCCAAATATATGTGAGGGCAGAATAGTAGGTGGATAAGCTTCTTTCCCCTTGTTTACACGTTGCGGACTCGGCTTGCAATTGATAGATTCTAGCAATAGTGCCTCTGTTCGGAGTAAGTTGACCTTGCTTGTTCCCATATTTCCTTGGCTGTTTCAGCCCACAAAAAGTTCTGCTTCACTGATGGTAGCATAATAGTCAGGAGCCATGACATAATCATGCAGTTTTCCTGGTCCCACTTATCATATTCAGCCGTACCAGTCCTAGATTCCTTCACTTTTCCATTGATATACTCTGCTTTACCCTGGGCTGTGATGTCCAGCCGCATCTCCTTAGACCATGTCAAATAATTTCTGCCATCCAAGGGAGTAATGGTCGTTGGAAAGCTCATGGAATCAATACTGTCGTTCATTCCTCCTTGGTTGAAAGAAGTTCCAGAGGTTGCTGAATCTTCAGAATTCATGACTGACGCTTACTAAGACAACAACAGTTCCTTCACCTCAGTCAATACACACAAATTGACTACACAGCCCTTACTTTAAGTGTTCTGACAGTTAGAACACAATTACAGCCCTTGCTGCAACACACTTTCACTGATCTAACAGGCCTCTCCAAGACTAATATAAGCCACAAGCATCAGTACTCTGCTGCTGTACCAGCCATCTGAACAAGTTCACAGGTGTACCAGACTTCTCCAAAGGCTAATATAAGCCACAAGCATCAGTCCACTGTTGCTGTAACAGTCAACCAAACCAGGTCACTCATGACCTACAACTAATTCCACAAGTTCACAGGTTTCTGGATCATCCGACCCATAAAGAAGGGGTTAAACTTCCCTTATACCATTCGGTCAAGGCAACCCTCAACCTGTTCTTGGTACCAGCACCAAGAACCAAAGAAAAAAGGTTTAAAAACTGTCCGAGTTCAGTTCAAGTGGTTTCTGGATTTTCCAGTCCAATAATCCGATAATAATAAAAGAGAATAGAAAAAAGGAGCCGCCAACCTCTTCGAAGGACTCAACCAGTCATCAAGAATCTTCTGCAATCACTTCAGTTGAGTTTCCGCCCAGAACAGAAGAGGGAGATCCAGCCAATGAGTTCTCAGGTCCAGAACTGACTTGGTTTCTTCATTCTCAGTCAAGTGAGCACAGAGGACGTCATCAACCAAAAAAAAATTTTAGAGAGCACCGACCTGCTCTGATACTATGATTTCGGCAAGAAAGAAAGATCTCGATCAAGAGATGAGAGGAAGAGAAGAGAAGAAGGGAGAAGAAGAAGAGAGGAGAGAAGGAAGATGCGAGAGGATTTCGACCAAAAACATAAGCTGGCGGCGCCACGATTTGTATTTATATGTTAGGGCGACTAAATAAAAAAAGGGAAAATGACAAAAGTACCCCTGCAGCACATAACTAAGATTACATCAGGCTGCCGAACCTCTGCAATCGCTACTAAACCCATCTGGTTTTTGTTTGACACATTGTTGCAGTCTTGTGGTACCATTTCCTCCTCTAGAAATAATAGCTCAGTGTTTAAGCTATCCTCCTCAAAAATATCTTTTGATTTTTGGAGGTCAAGGCTTCCCAAACTTAGGGTTTCTCCAGATTCCAAATCTATCTTCATCGTCTGTCAACATTTCTGAGTCTAGGATGTCTATTTCACTTCGCTTCACACATCTTGGATTACGGCGATCCTGTGTAGACTGAGCCAACTTCTTTGAAGGGACCCACTGTAGCGAGTTGGAAACTTTTACAGACTTGTTCGAGTGAGAGGAGGAGCTCGAGGAAGACGATGGTAGGCTCTGTTTCCCGTCTA